TTACTTTGGCATGGATTACTACACAGAAGTAGACATTACACTGCATCCCTCTCCAGCTGAAGTTGTTACAGTGATCCCCTGCCAATAAAACAATAGTAATTTTGCAAAACCTGGATTGAAGTGCATGCCTCTCTTTTTGTTCCTTCGAATCAGAGGAACTTTGGCTTGGCAGTGCTGATCAGAGTAAAACTTAATCAAGAGGCACCCTCGGCTCCTTCTGAAGTTCCCAGGAAGAGCAGGGCTCTGCTCGGAGCCGGCGAATGCCTTCCGCTCCCTCGCTCTGGGAGTTGTGGCTGTTTGGCACTTCTGGAAGCATTACAAAATACAAAACTTTCATGCTACCATGTTATTCTTAAAAAAGATGCCTGGGCAAGCTAATGGTTGTGACACAGACGGTCGATCCAGATACTCCTTTTGTTCGTCATGTACGATCCAACCACACGGTCAGCTTTCCTGGAGAGCGAGTGGACTTGCCTGGGTCTGAGCTGACATCTAACAGAAATGCTTCCACCAGCAAGGACCAAGCACGAGAAAGAGCAGCTGGCATCAAAGAGCAATTTAATCTCTCTCAGATTGTCTGCCATCAAATCTCCTCCTCATTTCCGAGGGCATAACTGAAAACCCATGTCTACACCTAGTCTAGTCTGCATTTTTGCTTTAGGTGCAAAAGCAAGAACACTAACTTAAGCAGTACTTATGTAATCACGCTGCAGGTAGTGATAAGGTTGTTATCACAACAGCCTCATAATTACTGAAGTTCCTGGCAAAGCAGTGGATGAAGCTCTCTGGTTTATTTGCACCATGCCACTGAGGGAAAAAAATGCCAGATTAATTAAATCGACAAGATCATTGATCTGTTTCACCTTTAAATGCTCAGAGATAATGTCCCACGTTCCTTATACATAGTTACAAAGGCAGTCAATTTTAGGGGGTAGAAAGAAGAAGGATTTGTTTTGCCAAAAACCCCTCAATCATAATTTCTTGGACTGAAATCTCATGCTTTCCTTGTGCTTGTGTGAGCTAGGAAAAAATTTGGAATGTTGCTGTTATACCTACCACTCGACCCTGTTAATCTCATTACAGACTATGGAAAAAAAAAAGTTTCACAAATTCAGGCAAGATAAACCCAAGACAGCTTTTGTAGTATCTTGATAAGAATTATACAAAAACATGTTTCATCCTATGAGAAGCCGAGGTATTTAGAGCAGCTTCGTTTTGTTCACGTCCCTGCCAACGTTATTACGCTTTTTACAAACCCCACACTTCTAAACAAGTGGGGTTAGAGGCCCTGTTTTCCGTAAGTTATCACAAATTTCTATTTCTTGACGTATTGACTTAGCATCAAAACTGATAAGATTTGTATTCCTTTGTAGCAAATCATAATTGTTCAGGAATATTTCAGGCATGAAAATTATGTTCAGATAAGGTTTATTGTGAGTAAGCAATGACAGAATGTATTCTTTGGCATTAAAATAACTTCAGAATGTACCCTGGCAGTTTATGAATATAACTGCAGGTGGTCATAGGAACAATACTGATCAAAGAGAATAAGAAGTTTCTCTGAGTAATTTAGATTAAGACACTTCTTTTTAGACTATTATTTCACTTTCCTGGTATCATTAGTTAAGGTAAAAATATACTGTTTTCTGAACGCTGTTGTAATCCTAAGCAATGTTTTGAAAGAAATGGCAAGCATCTGAACCAATGTGACTTTCTTGCAAATAAAAACCGGAATGGAGCTAGGGAAATAATACATTTGCTAGATAGGTACTTTTGAAAGTGCTTTAGATACAACTTCTACTCTTTTTTTTGTCCACTGATCTGTCAAACCCCAGCCCTGTCGGACCACGGGCACTCGGTTCTGCTGCTCCCAGTGCTCCCAGCTCCCAGTGAAGCCAGTGGCAGCCAAGGGAGACTGAAACAGGTCTGCAAAGACCTTGCAAGATCAGACCCTGATTATGTTCTGCACATGGGCTCCAAATCCATAACAAAATCAGAAAGACATTTGTTCGAGGTATTTATAGAGAGTCTGTTTGACTAACCATCTGTGCTCTGATTGAAGTATACACATGGTCCAGACCGAATAAAAACCAATTCTGTGGATTAAAATAGTAACTTTGACACTGTCACATCTAGAGATTTTACTGTTGGTGACTTTGCTGACCTGTTTACATGTAAAGGTAAGTTTTAAAACTGTAAAATGCGAAAGGTGGCATGAGGAAAGAACGTTACTAGCCCGTCCGCTTCAAAAAGGCTTTGAAGTTGAGGGTGCTCTTTGAACGCTGCACGCCCTTCAGAACGGCTGCGGGCTCCGGGTCTGGATTAAGCTGGCTGCCTTCCTCAGTTTCTGAGTAGCTTTGGGTTCATTTGCAAATGTAAGGATGAAAATATGCTAAAATATTTTGCCACTTGTCTCGTATTTCTATTTCAAAATGAGATTAATTCCATTTTTTTGCTGTTGTTCATGGTGTTCAATACAAATATTAGCAAAGCATTAGGAATGGATTTAGCATTAGGTAGCTGACTGTAGCGTGGATCTAATTGCACCAAGAAACCTCATTGCATTCATTCAGTTTGCTTCCTTCCTTGAGGTTACCTTGTTCCTGGATCAGTGTGTTTTGTATGTTCAGAATGCAGAGATTAGGAATCATAACAAAGAGTTAAAAAGCACCGGGCTGCAATAGGATTGGTTCAAAGATATATACATGATGGTCACTCAGGGTTTATTGAAATTGCTCCTTAGGAATGATTATTGAACAGCAAGGTTTTGGTAAGCTGGTTATGCCTGTTCAAGGTGGTAGGAAATTGAAGTTTCTGATATTGTTTCACAAGATTAATTTTCTTTAGTGATAACCTGGGGAATTCTTAAAATTACCTCTTCTTAGTTGATGTAGCACCATCTGCCACATCTGCAAAGAAGATAGTTATTTTTAGGAGCAGCTTCGTTGGTGTGGTTTTTTGATTGAGTCTTGAGTCATCAAGGTCAGTATTTTTGAATTATTCAATGCAGGAAAATAGAAGCAATCGTTTTGCATTGTGGTCAAGAATAAAGGATGCTTTGTTATTACAGTTGATGCCATAAACCTCATAGCTATTTATTACAGTCCTCTCATTTCCAAGAAATTTGTTTTCATTTGCTTGCGTTTGAGAGCATTTAGCTTTGTGAGGAAAAAGGATCAGTCATAACTCATGAATCAGTAACACAGCACTGGTGGCAAATAAGTAACTGTGGAGACTCTCCTGTTAATGGAAATATTAAAGTGAAAATGGTGTACTTCTTAACACTGGGTCGTAGGTCCAGGTTCCCAGCTTCACTTCAAAAGCTGAATGGTAAATTAGTATCTCTAATGAGCCATCCTTTAGCAGAGATTCCTCATTATGCCTGTGGCCTTCTGTGATATCTCGGAGTCAGATAAGCTTTCTCCTTCACATAATAAACAAGGGAGCCAAGGTAAGGTGAGAATTAGGACCTGAACCCTTCAGCAGCGTGCTTCATCTTGGAGAGGAAGGGCTCCGATCTGCACCAGGTGCTTTGAGTAAACTCTTAATGGGAAGTAACGACTGTGGCAGGTGAATGCACAGCTATGCTTGATGGTGAGACGGCTACATCTCTGCAGCACTTTGTTTCAGCTTCTTGCTGTTGAGGAGCTAATGAAAGCAGGCAGCTTCTGCAAGACAGAAGAGTTTTTGCCTGGAGAGTTAGTGAAAATTAGGTTTATTTTACTGGCTTTGCTCCGGAATGAAGGTGGCAGAGCTGCGTGGCCTGAGGACGGTCTCTCCAGAAATCACATATGTGTTGAAAATTAAAGCTTCAAAGGGGTGCCCACATGCTAGAGAAAGAGGAAACTGATCTGAGAGATGAGATAATTGAAAAGAGATGTTGAAAAGCCAAACCCGTATTCCATGCTGAAAGAAAGACGGGCAAGTCTGAAGGTATCTAGGCAGAGCCTCACATACTGCACCTCCTTGAGTTATGGAAGACTCAGGTTTGCCATTTACTGTTGGGTCACAGAAGTGATGCCTCTTGTGAGAAGAGGCAGAGCCCGGGGAGTATGAGTTTGGAGATGTACCCAGGCCAGGGGCTGCTTCGGCACGCAGGGGTAGCAAGGAGGGTGCTTAACTGATCCCATAACTGGCCCTCTGAACACGAGGTGGGTTTTTTAAATGAAGATACAAAACTAGAATGACTTCATGTGTTTAATGTTCCTTATTCTGTTAAAGAACTCGGGATAAGGCCTCCGAAACACTATTTTGCTTTGTTGACTGCGGGAGAAACTACTGCCCAGAAATGTCACTGTTTATCTGTATAATCTGTGCGACGGAGCGGAATTTTGTAAACAGCCAAAAGCCTGCCTCCCAGATATGAATGATGCTGGCACCTCAAAGAGCATCGGTCGGTACCACACGTTCAGAGCCAGTTCACAAACGGGTCTCGCTTGTCATCTGTTCTCAGCCCTCCCACGCCACTCGTTAATCGCTGACGGGGGGAAGCTGCGTAAAGTGCAAAGTTAGTTTTATATTTTTCGTCCACTCTTCTAATTCCAGCATGTAGAGATACTTCTTTTAAAATAATTATTGAACGGCACCACACCCATCAGCAAAATTCTTATTGACAAGTTACTTGTTAATGGCAGTGGATATATTCCTAACTGATCCTTAGATATACACACACAGATCTCTGAAAGAAAGGCAGGCACACCGGTGTTTGGCTGCAGATTTGGGAAAAGAGTTCAAGAAAGGCAGGTACTGTTGTACGCAGCGATACACTATCCTCTAGTCTGCCAAAGACATTGGTCACTTACATCCAAAGCACGTTTTTCCAAAAAGGGAAAAATAAGGTAAAAAATAGACTATTAATGTCACCCAGGAGAGTACAGACAGCTTGCAATCTAAGTCAAGTCACATCTCTCTACTGAACTGTATTTTGGTATCATTTGAGTTAACTACGTAGCTGAGTCACTGGAAAGGTTTTTGGGGTTTGTTTCTTTTTTGTTCTTCAGCAACTTTGAATCTCCACTGGTGCAGGAAGTCCCAGAGCACCGAGGCAGCAGCACAGACAGTTCGGCAAGCAGTTTGGGAAGCTCTGTCACAGCGTGCAAGAAGGTAACTTCTAAGTTTGTGTTATATTCAAAGGCAGATATATCCCAGGTTAGAGCTTTGCTTTTTAGCTTTTGTCTTTAATGGGGAATACAAAATTCGACTGAGAGCTAAAAAAAAGAAAAGGACTGATAGGAAAATTAAATTCAGGGTGCTGTTATGGTATCGTGCAGTTTTGTCTGCCTGGCCTGTACTGGTCTGGTCCCAAAATACATCGTGCAGACATGGGAGACAAACTCCCCCTGCGTGTTTCCGTTTCCCCTCATTATGTGCAATATGAAATAAAAGCAGCGCACAGCGTGGCTACCTTCAGGGCTGCTCTTCAGTTTGTGGCGAGTGCCTGGGACGCAGCCGGAGGGCCCAGAGCTGTGCTTGCCGGCTCGCCGGGACAGAGGCTCCTTCCCGAGGCAGCTGCTCTGCCCTCCCTAGGGTCTGCCTGGAAAGCCTCGGCAGCCCAGGAGGGTCTGCAGATGTGACCGTTGTGGAGTCTGTTGCCTCCAAAGGAGTTTGTGTGTGGTTACTGAATTAGAGGACGGGGGAAGCGGTGCCTGTGTGTGTGCGCGTCATCCGGAGGGGCTGGGGGCGACTGAGGTCACGCTGTGCGTGTGGGACGTCTCAGCGCCACTGGGGACAGGCGGGGGGGGCCCCCTGGAGGGTCTCCCCCCC